TATTAGTAAAATATAAAAATGAAATGAATTCAGTATTCAAATAAGTAAAAAAAATAAGTAAATGTATAAAAATTTATTTACTTTTAACGGACAGAAAAAAATATATTAAAACAGAGATGTTTGATTTCAAAGAAAATAATTTGATATTAATATTTTTTTTATAGATACCATATTAAAGTCAATTTTTCTTTAAAATAGAACGATATGTTGTTTTATTTATCTTTTGATGAAATATTTTAAGACGAATACAATAATCTATAATTGAAGATCGTTCAAATATCTCTTTCGAAACCAAACAACATTGATATGATGTATTTCTTTTTATCATTAAAAATAAATAAGTTATTAAGATATTTATTTTAAATCCTTCATCCTGTGTTTACAAAAATATAATGATTACATTTGATTTAGATATCGTTTATTCACATACAAAGTAACAAATTCAAAATGTATGTTATGATTGTATTTGAATATTAATATAAGTTTAATAGAATGTTTAAATAAAGTAAATAGTAATAGTAAAGAATTATTCTAAAAATTAAAATAAAAACTATTATGCAAAAATGTAAATTGTAGCTTATTTATTAAGTTTAAAGCAATTTAATTTTATATTAAAAAATACGGAAATAAAATGAAATGATTCTTCGTTATATTCTATTTTTTTTCTCACTTTATTTAGTATAAACTTAAGTTGTTTATATAATTTGAAATAAATAAAAAATATCTATTAAATAAATTTTAATAGACATTTCTATTTATTAAATTTTATTCGTTCAGTTACTAAAATTATTTTTTATTTTCTATTTACTTCATTCGAACATTGTATGATTTCTATAAATTTATTTTTTTTAAGCTTATGCTGTTAAATGGATATTGTATTCTTGATTGATTGCTGAAAGCTTCATAACTATTGATTAAACAAATATTTGATAGATTTTAGAATTTTAGAAATTTGAATATGAAAATTTTAGAATTTTGAATATCGGTGATATATGAGCATTTTGTTTTATTTAGATATAAATAAATAACTTAAAACATATAAAAAAATGTAAAAAAATAAAAAAAAATTATGAAAATTATAAATTATATTAAATTATATTTAACGAATTTTAAATTTTTAAGATGATTTATATTCTCTTTTTTAGATAAATAGAAAAGTAACTAAAAAATTTAATAATTCAACTTTTTTTTTCTTTTTCTTTTATATTTTAAAAGGAAGTTTATAATTATAACAATTGATTTTTATTGAATTTAATAATAATAATAATAATAAAAATAAAGATATAAAATGTAATTTAAATAGAATGAATTTGACATTTTTATTTTTTATAATTAAATAAAAATATATATGTTTGTTCATATATTATTTATTATCAATTATTCTATACAAAAGCTTTCAGAAATATTATTGTCAATTAATTTTTTATATATCAGTACGACATTAATAATATATTTGTGCAATGTAAATAACATTTTTTTTCAAATAAACAAAAGTCCATGTAATCATAATTGCATGTAAACGATAATTACTTTTTATAATTCCATACTTTCTTTTTTCTTTTTGAAATTGAAACTTTTATTTTTATTTATTTATCTCATCTTTCATTTTTATTAAAAATAGATTTTGCGATATATTGTACGATACATGATATGGAAGTAATATTTAAAAACATACGATCTTTGATCCGTAAATATAAGAGTAACAATGGAAAAAAAAATATTAAACATCAAATATTTATATTCATGAAGTGTATAAATTTTATGTGTTGCGAAATCGATTATGATAAGGAATGTTAAATAATATATTGTTTGCATTGAAAAGTACAGAGCTTCAATTGAAAATTACTTATAATATATACTAATATTTTTTTATACATAATAATTATTTTTGAATTTGAATGTAATATAATATTATATAACAAAAATATTATATAATAAAAACTTATCTGGAATAAATTCCAGAATATTGATATTATATAACATTTTATTTAATAAAATTTTATAGATAGATTGTTAATATAAACATTTTATTTAAACCTATAAGTGAATCATTGTATGATATTGAATCTGCTTATTTGAAATCCATAAGAACAAAATACTTTCATAAGATTTCAAATTAAAAAGATTGAATAAATTTTTTTATATATTTATTTATTCTCCACGTGTACAAGAAAATTACTAATATTTGAATCAATTTGAATTTCAGCAAAGAAATGTATTAGTTGAAAAAATTTTATCTCTATCTTATAAATGTTTTTTATTTCGATATGAGATTGTTAAATAGAAAAAAATAATAATCGAATTTCAATATCTATATTTCAATTATATTATATTATCATGTTTTATCTTTATGAAAAACTTGTATAAATATTATTTTATAAAATATAATAATAAATAAGTAAATAAATAATACTTTTTTTTTCACATTACTATTGCATACGGACGATATTTTTATTCACTATTCATACTATTTCTTTGAATAAAATTATTTCGATAATTAATTGTTATTTATTTTTGTTATTTATTATTATTATATATAATTTAATTTTATGTAAAAATTAGTCAATTAAAAAAATTTTAAAACTTAAATTAAAAACTTATTTAAAACTTTATTTTAAATATGTATTCAAATATGTAATATTTTATTAAATTCCGAATTCGATTTCATAGTATGACATGAGTTGAATTATATAGAATTGAAATAGCATTGTTAACAATTGAATACTGATTTAGTCTTTTAGAAAAAAAAGACTAGATGAAAACAAAAAATGAAATAGTAATATTCGAAATCAAATTTTATGTTTATGTGTATATAAGAAAGCCTAAATCAACAATCTTTCCCGTTATCGATATAATATTGCTTTATTCTGATTTTGATTCATTTTTTGCATTAGTATATATTAAAAATAAAAATACGAAAAAAAATTAATAAATTTATGATATTCATACGAGATACATAAAAAAAACAATTGCAGTATGTATACATTTTTTATGGATATATGATATTATTGTAATAATGTAATAATGTATAATAATATAATGTATAATAATATATTAATTTGTATTATTGATATCTGATATTCAAATCGAATATTATTTCTGTCTAAATAAGAATAAGAGATATTGAGTGCAAATTTAATAAAAATTTGATTGATTTTATCAATTGTTTTATTAATTTATATATAATAATCTGAAATTTAAATTGAGTATTATTTAAATATTTATTATGATTCAATATTATTCAAGAATAATTCAGACTTTCTGATTCTTCTTGTGAAAATAATTAAAAGAAGCAAACAATTATATAAAATATATTCAATCTTTTTAATTCGAAATTTTATGGGAATATATTTTAATTTGCTTATGCATTTCGGCAGATTAAGATTTTTTTTAATAAAATGATTTATCTGACTTTAAATGAAATGTTGTTTAATCATGTTAAATAATTAATATAATATATTGTGAATAAATATTATTGAATTTGTTATAATTTATTCGAGATAAGTTTTAAATAACAAATACGTAATTTTCAATTTGTATAATTAGTAATCAAAATTTTTTTTTAAAATAATATAAAAATATTACATAATTACATTATATGGTATTTACATTGTATTTATTATTGTTACATTATTGAAATTCAAAAATAATAATTTGTATATAAAAAATATCAGTATATTAATTTTTCGTCGAGGGATTTTATTATACGAATAATACTCTATAATATTTCCGTGCACTCAATTGTACATTCTTGCTCTTCCACTGTTTCACTCTATCTAATGCAAATTTAAAATATAATTATTATGGATTTTGGCAAGTTAAGATTTTTTTTAATAAAATGATTTATCTGACTTATAATTTATAATTCGTTAATTAAATTTTAACGGATATATATGATATGAATTTTTTTCATCATTTGATGTTTAGAATCTATCCTCTAAAGATATCTCACATTTTTGTGTAATAAATTTTATATTATATTATTTTATATTTATTATATAGATATAATAATATATAAGAATATGTGTATATATAATAATAATAATTATTATTATATATTATTACTAATAATATAGAGTATTCAAAAATGTCAATTCAAAATTTTTTTTTTTGTGGCATAAATAAATTTATAAAAATTATTATAAAACATATCATACTAAATAAAAAGCAAAGTAAATAAATTGAAAATTTAATTCTAAGATATAGTTATTTTTTGTTTTATTAGTTAGCATTATGATTGACTTACTATTGGTTTCTGCATTTGATGTTTTTATCTGTGTTTATAAATTGTTTTCTAAATGTTTTAATTTTCTAATGTTTTTAATTTTCTAATTCAATTTCTACTTCGTATACTTCGTAACAAATTATGCTAATTCCTAAGGGTATGTTCTATATCATATAAATTTAAATGATTTTTTTTTTAATAATCCATGTATATATAAATATATACATATAAATATATACATTATAAACATACATATAATATTTATATGTTATAATGTATTAATATATTAATATATTATGTAATTATATAATTATATATTATAATTATTTTCTTTTTAAATTAATTGCTTATAATTTGAAAAATAAATTTCAACAAATATCCTAAATATGAAAGTTGATAATATATTAAAAAATATATTAAAAGTCATTTTTGAAGTTGTAAGCAATTTAATTTTATATAAATATGATTATAAAATGAAACGTCAATAAAATGAAATATGTGCGACGAAAATAAAATTATTTTCCATTTCGTTTCATCTAGAATTAAAATGATTATAAAAATAAATAAAATTCGATGGACATTTTTGTATAGTTTTGTTTGTTTTAATCTCTAGAAGCATTCCTTAAATTTTCTATTTTAATTTTAAATTTTCTACTTCATCTGAATACTTTATACAGTCTTTCTTACTTTCTGCTTGAAAGAAGTGGAAGATGATAAATCAAAATATGCTGAAAAGTTAAGTTGTGATGTCTATCACAACTATCAGCGACAGTAGTATATAATGTTGTGTCTCTCAGTAACGTTTAAAAGTCCAAGCAGGATCAATCCAATTTAAAATTATTACGATCGATTTTAATAAAAGTATTTTATAAAAGTATTTTATTAAAAGTATAGTGCGAACTATTTATTAAAAATTAAATTACACATTAGAGGTCAAAAAGAGTTTCTAAATTAATCATTTAATAAGAAGATTGAGGTCTTTTGTGCATTTTTATTTTGAATTTTAATCAAATATTTAATTATCTTTGATTAATTCTTTGATTATTTGGAAGAAGAAAAACAAGTAAATAAGGTAAGACTAAAAGTTTTCATTTATATAAAATTTTTTAATTTTATATTTAGAATATCGATTATAAACAAAGGAATTTTTATAAATTACTTGTAATAAAAAATAGTTGGCAATAAAATTAAATGCACTTATTATTATCGATTAATTAAAATTATAATATAATAATTAAAATATTTGATTATATATATATTTGATCAACCGTGATTTATATAAAGTGTTTTGTTTAACTATGTATATCAAATATCTCACAAAAGTTATATAAAAAATATTTTGACGAAAGTTATTTGATTTAAAGGAGAACATCATATATAAAAAAATTTTTATAATCATATACATATATGATTATAATTTATATATATAATCATATATATATATATAAATTTTTTCATAGATTAAATGGTGAGAAAAATTTTAATCTCAACTTTATTTTTTTTTAAATAATAGAATTTTATATATTTTTGAATTATATTTAAGAATTATATTTTAATTATATTTTGAATTATATTTTAATTATATTTATCAAATTTTATTAAAATATTTATTTAATAATTTTAATTTCTTGTAAGATTATATTCAGTTAAACAAAATACTTTATACATAGATATATATATTTATAAGTATTTAATTGTTATTTAATCAATATTAAATTATTAGATACTATTAAACAAGTATTATTAAGTAAATTATTTAATTGAAATTTATATTAAATATTAAAATTTAACTACTAAAATTCTCTTGATTGAAATTATGAATATGTGAATACAATTTTAAATTTAATAGAGGAAAGTAATGAAATAAAAATTTTTTTTCATATAATGGATTACTGATTTATTTTATTAATATTAGATATATTAATAAATAACATAATATATAGCATAAATAACATAAATAATATATAATAATAATAGCATAAATAACAATGTATTCAATATATATTTAAATACATGAAATAATATATGTGTATTCGTATTTTTTTAATACAAATTTGAAATGTGGTTTTTGATTAATATACGATAAATAAGAAATCAGGCTTCAAAATTCTTTTTCTAAATATCATTAATTTTTAATCATTTTTTCATTTTAACAAATTCTTTATAATAATATTTTTATATGAATCTTGGTAAGAATTATTAAATTATCAAAATATCTTTTACTATTAAGGATTAATTTCAACATTAACAAAATGTTAAAAACGTTAAAAAAGTAATACAAATAAAATGAATTAGAGATTTGTATGTAAATCACTTTTGTATAAATATTTACTATAAATATTTAAAAATATATTTAATCGTTAAAAATAAAATTTATTTAAAATTAATTTTGAAAAATAATATTAAATAATAAATGATATACAGATGGTACATAAATAAGTTATTAAAATAAAAAAATAATTAAATACTTTGAGAATCTATTTAAAATATAAGGAAAAAATTGTGACGATAATAATTTTACATAATGTACTAACGTAATGTTTTTTATGTTCTGCCAACATCTAACGTATATATCCTTAAAGAAAATTAATATTTCAACATTTTAAAAAATTACTTGATATAAGTAAAATTAATTATTTAAATTAATTAGGAGATTATATATTATAATAGATATTAATCATTTTAAATTGTATTCATTGAATTCTATATTTAATTTTTTTTCTAAATTCAATTTACAAGTAAAGGTATTTTCTTTATTTCATGCTGAAAATTTTGTATTTCGCTTAATGGAATATTGAATCCATTGTATTCTAATTATATTCATATGAATATTTATATGTATAAATATAAATTTACCAAATCATATAAATGTAATGGCAACGAAATTGTTCATTATTTACTTGTTTACTACTGAATATTAATCTGAACGAACAATTCTTAATATGCATATGTTACATAATTTAGGTATTTTATATGAATTTACGTCAGAATTAATTTTTTGACTTCAGGTCATTTTTAATTGATCTTTATTTGAAATTTAATTGAAATTTTTAAAATGTTGTAGTACAATATGAGTAATAATTATTTATCTAATATAAAATCGAATATTTTGGAAAAAAGTATCTTGTTTTTTATGATTATTTAAGCTATGTTAATTTTTGGATAACAAAAATTGAAAAAGTTTGTATAAATTATGCAAAGATTGTTCTTCTTTTTATTAAATATTTTTTTATAATTTTTAATCTAATATTATGTCTATAATATATTAATATTTTTAAAAATTGTCATAACTTTTCTACATTATTTCATATAATAAATATTATAAAATTATAAATATGTTTTATCCTATTTGTATAGCTCACAGAATCTGAACAAAATTTTACAAAGGAATTTATTCAACAATCATTTTAATATATTGATTTTAATATACATAAATCATATCTGTTTATTCAAATCCGACAATTCGTTGGCAATATGTTATTATCACAACACGGTAGATATACGCATTTTGATTGACCAGTATTTGTCGTTAATAACTTGTTTAATAAAACTGAAACAAAAATTTTTGCAAAAGAAAAAGTTGCTTTATTACTTAGCGAAAGAAATCGCTACAGTAATTAATTAAGTTTTTTGGAATATATTATATATTAATTATATTAATTATATAATTATATAATTTCTATTGTTATTTTAATTTTATATTAATATTAATCTTTATATTATATAATTGCACATAATATAATATATATAATTAAATGAAGCAAATTGAATTATATTTAAGTCATTTGATTATCTTGACTATCTTATATTATTGTTAGTTATTTTAGTAGGAAAAAATATAAAATTTACGTAATAGACACTTACATAATTTGATGTAAATAGTTTTTGATAAATATATGATGTTACGTGATATAAAATGTCATGTAAATGTTATGAAAATCAATTTCTTCTTTTTAAATAGAATGATATGTTTTTTTACATAGTTCTGCTAAAATGTTTTAAGATACAATAATCTATGATTCAATGATCATTCAAAACAACTAAAGATCAATTACAAAAAAAAAAATATGAGCAAATCGAATTTTAATGACGATTTATTTACTAGTACCATTTTTTCAATTTCTTAAAAATTTTTTTATAATATTTGTAATAAGTATCTAACATGTTCAAAAAATCTGCATATAAATTTTTTGGTTCTCATAATTTGGCAGTATTTGATAAATATAAGCCATATCTACTTTTTGCACTTTTGAATAATACATTTTAAAAAAACAAGCCGTAGATGAATAGAATATTGCAAATTAACAATAAAATACATGAATACAAGATAAATAATGAAGCATATACTATAATAAAATGGATTATATTCGATGATTTTTATTGTTACATTGTTGTTAATATTTATTGTTTATTGTTTACATTATTAATTGTAAGAACTAAAGAATTTTATCACTTACACAAAATAAATTATTTTGTCTTGTATTCGATTTTCAATGACTTTAAATAACTTTGAATTATATGCATTTTAAAATATTTACTAAATGATTTGTAAAAAAAATTATTCTATTTAAAAAGACAAAGTTATTGACGTCTCTATATATTTATTTATATCAAATTAATATTTTTATCAAATTATATATCTTTCACATTTTTTCTATTTGCAGTAACAGTCAAGATAACAGCTCATTTTATATAATATCATGAAAATGAAAAAATAATACAAAAATAATGTAATATATTTTATAAAAAAAATTGGAATTAGATAATTGATCTACAATATGTGACGATAAATTGATCAATTATTTTCATTCTTTTTCTCTCGATAATTTGTTTTAATTTTTAATGAAATTATAATAAAGAAATCATAATTTTTATCTTATATTTTTTCATCGTTAGATATATAAAATTACACAAGGCTTTACTAATATAAACTAAATCCTTTTATAACAAAATTTGAATGTTTTAACAATGATTAATTTTACTATCAGTGTTTCTTTTGATTCTCGATAAAGTGATCTATTATAATATTGTAATAATATTTCCGAAACGAGTATTATATTTCTGAATGATTCTGAATTCGATCGAAATGAAAATTAATGAAATTTATAGAAGGCGAACGAATATTAAAAAATGAAATGTTAACTATAATTCATACATTCAAAAGATATTGTTATATAATAAATTCGACATTAAAATTGATTAAATGTCATATTTATATTAATTATAATTTTATGATGTACAAAAAAAATTGAACATATTTATTAAACATTATTGCAATAATTTTGAAAAAAAAGAAATTAATTTTTGCAGTATAATGTGTGACTATTTTGCTAAATGCTGTTTTAATATGATTTTAATTGGATTAAATAATAAAATTAGATATTATTTTATGATAAAATAATCAATTATATTAATGTGACTATAGATATTATTAAAAATTAATTCATATTGTGTAATGCACAATCTGATATTACTTACGCAACATACTTACGTATTACTAATTGCAAATGCTTATATCATCATTATGCTACATATTGTTTACATATAAGCATTTAATGACATGCAAAAATTTTTGTATTTTACATTCAATTATTTCAGATAATATAAACACATACTTAATAATATTTAATACTTGAAATCTACATCTTCCTATTGTTGAATTGTATTATCGAAGTTGAAATTTTATATTTTCCCCGAATCTTTGCGATAGCAATATTTTTTGGAATTATATTTACAAAATGTTTATTAACTCCAACAGTTCCTGGAGCTATAAAATATAATTATATAAAAATAATTATTACGAAATTCGTTGTTGATAAATTCAATTCACTAGACAATCAAAAGCAAAGTTCATATACCAATAATGTACTACTAACTTCACTAAACTTTGAAATTCAAAGAGTTCTGAAAGTTCTTGTTTTGATAATTCTTGCTTGTTTTTTATAATTTTGATTTTTGTAATTCTCGCATATTTTTAAAGGTTCTTCCCCATTGGTATCCTCTGAAGCCTCCGCCATTTTCCACTTGTGAATCTTCAGTGAATGTCAGAGATACATAGATATCCAATAATGT